CTTCTCGGAGGATATGTGCTGAGCCGAGAGGCAGTGAATAGATTAGCGGAAGAGGCATTACTGAATCCTAGAACCTGTCCTCTTGGGAAGGATGAAGATGTATCCATCGGTCTGTTGTCCTTCCCTTGTTCTTTTCTCATCATAGATCGTGAATGCTTCAATTCTGAAAGGGGAAAATCGCTCGCTAGTGAGAACGTGAATAGGTTGGTTCGTATAGGTTAATTCAGTAGCAGTTGCTGGATGCAATTGAGAGCTTTTCCAGGATTTGGCGAAGAATCCATCATAAAAAGTATCCAAAATATGATTATAATCCATGCATGAAAAACAATCTGTCGAATTTTAATATCATTTAAACAAAATAAATCTAGATCAGGATGAGCAATGATGCATCAGGAGAAAGTCCTGTATCGATTCATTTAGCCTTCATTCTTGCTCTCTGTTTTCTGTCAAAACGTGAAGAAAGTGGCACCGAAAGGGAAATCGGGAAGAAAGAGATCATGACGCTGTCACTTAATTTTTGTCCTGCATTTCTCACAAACGAATCTCCATTCGTATTTACTGTTCAAACGTGAAAATCCTAGAGTATCCTTCCGGAAAATCTTCTCGTCTTCATCCCGTTTACGGTCCATGATGGCCATCTGAAGGACGGCTGAAGCTACGCGCTGAGCGTTCTCTTCTCTCTTCAATCGACGACAGGGAAATGTCTGGCCGCAGTGGGAGTGGAAGCGGGCGATTCCCGAGACGAGTATGGACGCTGGCGCTTCTTCCCCTTCAATCCAGAGACTCAACTCAACCCCATTGTGGAGCACCGATTTAACTGGTTGTTCAGATTCACTCACTACAATTACACGGAAGGACCCGAGTGCTGTTCGGACACGGCCATCGCCTTCCATTACGTTTCTCCCAATCTCATGCACGCGATGGAGTATCTCGTCTACCACTTACATCCATACGGAGTCTGCTCTATCAACCAGGCTGATGATGCTTAGTCATGAAACAATACAATCGGTCTAATATTCATGCACTGATGTCGGTGCGATCATTGACTAAAATATTCAAGCATAAGTAATAAATCAT